AAAAAGTAAATCCCATTAAATAAGGGGAGTTACCAATTGCAAACAAATACCTTAATAATTCTTAATTAAATATCTATATCTATATCTATATTCAATATATATATATATATATATATATATATAAAAAGAGAGAATCTATTTAAAAAAATAGTAGCAAAAAAATAGGTCAGCATTTAATGCAACCCATAAATAGTAGTTTTATTAATTTTCTTATTTTTATTCTTTAAAAATTATATAATTTAATTTATAAATACGGTTTAATATAATCATACAAAATTTAATCATACAATTTAATTTATAAAAATCATACATTTTAATATTTTCTTTAAAAACACACTTTAATATATATATATATGTACGTATATATAGGGTTGGGTTCACATGAGAATGGTGTATAGTGAAAGAAATAAGAATACATTGTAACCATTAGATCGCATGATCCAACGCTTATAAAAAAGCTCAAAATATATCTGCATTAAGGACAATATAGTAATTTTGTATATTACATTCAAATAAATGAGCCCAATGTAATTTAATATAGCTCCCACCTAATCTATCTACCAACCTTAATTATAACGCTGGGCCCCACCCACAACTCACACATCCCCTCTCCCACGATTTTATCTCTCTCTCCCCCAAGCACCATGCCCGTCAACTGCATACCTCTCTCTGCCGGCGTATTTTTCGGTGAACCCGACTTTGCAACCTGGCTACCGACACGCACCACCGTCACCGGCGAACATCAGTCGCCACCTTTCGGGAGCTCGACGGTCGTCCGTTAGTGGCCGCACCACGGCCCGCCACAGCTCTTGACGGTGCCGCTGTTACCGTATTGCAGCTTCTTCTCCATTCACGACGGAAGCAACACCGTTCGCCGATATTGAGGGTTATATTCTGTCGAGAAAACGCGGCGACGACATCCCGATAAAAATGGGTCATTGATACATGAGTTGAAATCTCCGTGAAGCACCTCGACATCGGGTATCCTGTGGAATGAAACGTGATCTCCGGCGTCTGAAGAAGCTTCCAGTGGTTAGTCGGAACTCAGAAGGAAGACTTTCAGTGATGGTGGTCGGACATGAAAACACCGGTAGCTCCTGCACGACCATCGCGGACACCATTCTTTCACCGGGATTTCGGCGGTCAGAACGGCGGCGAAAATAGAGGCTCCGGTCGGAAAAAATTCCGGCGACTTGAAATCAGAAATTGGACTGTGGGTTAGGCATATTTTTTGAAAATTAGATTAAGTCTAAGGACTTATTTGTAATTTTGATAATTTTAATTATATTTAAATTTAACCCTTGGGTCAAATTTGTAATTATTGTAAGTTAATAAAAAAATATTTTTTTATATTATCCTTTTATGCTTATATATTAAATAGTAAATAAATTATTAAATAAAAATAATATAAAATATTAAAATATTATTACAATAAATTAGGATAATAAATAATAAAAATAATAAATAAGATTATATTTTAATTATTTAGTTTTATTCGATGTACAATAATATCTATTAAAACCAGTTTTCGAATAAACATTTTCTTTGAAAAGATATAAATTAGTGCACTTTATATAACGGAATGTTACACTTTATAAAACAACTCATTGCACTTTATAAAATAACTCATTGCATTTTATAAGACAACTAATTGCACTTTATAAAACAACAACGAAATGATACACTTTGTAAAACAACTCATTGCACTTTATAAAACAATCAATTGCACTTTATAAAACAACATATTGCACTTTATCATCATGCTCTACAATTAATGTCAAACAGCTCCCTTTAAAACATTATGCA